TGGGGGCCTGAGTGCGGGCGATCCGCCCCCCCCCCCTCCCGCTGGCAGACCGGGGCTGGCGAGTTGCCCAGGACCTGCATTCCTGATCGCCCCCAAACCGCTCCCGCTGGCAGACCGGGGCTGGCGGGTTGCCAGGGACCCGCATTCCTGTGGGCAGACCTGGGCTGGCGGGGCGGCTGCGGGTGATCGCCCCCAAACCGCTCCCGCTGGCAGACTGGGGCTGGTGGGTTGCCAGGGACCCGCATTCCCGCGGGCAGACCCGGGCTGGTGGGGCGGCTGCGGTGTCTGCCTGCTGACAACCCCCAACAGGCTCTCCCGCCAGGAATCGGGGCTGGTGCGGCAACCACAGTGGTGGCCAGAAGTCATGCCCCCAACTGGCCCTCCTGGGGGAGATCCAGGCTGGCTGCAATTCACCACCAGTCATGCCCCCAACCGGCCCTCCAGTGTTTAACCCAGGCTTCCGGGGACAGTGTGACCTGTCACCCCAGCTTCCTCATCACAGCTGAGGAAAGTGACAGCAGGGAAGAGGAAGTCCCACCCCCACAGACTTAGCCAGAATCAGCCGTTAGTCACATAGCTCTCAGTGGCCTGACCAGCAAGACTCTCATTCTCCTGCATCTCAGACGGTGTCCGTAGACAGGTAGGACAATGTCCAAAGATAAACGGTTGATACAAGGTAGCTCTGTAGCCGAAAAGTGCCGGCGTTATTGACAGAAAATGTCTGCAGAGCAAAAGTGCGTCTGATCTTGAAAGAAGGCGGCGTCTGCAACAGAATGTATCTGAAGAACAGCTACTGGAAAAACGTCACTCTGAAGCCAAAAGACTGAGGTGTCATTACCCGCACTCACGTTGTTTTTACATCATGAGTTTGTTGTTATATCATTTTATTACTGTTTATTTATTAATAAAATTATGTATTATTTTCATATACATTGTACTCATTTCCTTTTATCTCTCACACTTTTATTATAAAGGGCAAATAGCAATATTAAAATATTTCCTCTAATTAATTCCCTTTCAATGTGCACGAATTTCGTGCACCGGGCCAATAGTTTATATATATAAAAGCCCAAGTGACTGGATGACTGAACGACCAAACAATCAGTCAACTGGTAGCTATGACATGCACTGACCACCAGGGGCAGATGCTCAATGCAGGAGCTTCCCCCTGGTGGTCAGTGCGCTCCCACAGCAGGAGCGCTGCTCAGCCAGATGCTGGGCTCAAGGCTGGTGAGTGCAGCTGTGGCAGCACGAGCCTCTCCTGGCTCCACAGCAGCAGGTGCCACAGGGCTGGGATGAGTGGGAGTGGATCCCGGCCCCGGCTTGGGCTCCTCCCCAACCATCTGCGGCTTTGTGCACTGCTACATCCCCAGAGTGGTCCCGGACTGTGAGAGGGTGCAGGCCAGGCTGAGGGACTCCACCAGTGCACGAATCCGTGCCCCAGGCCTCTAGTAATAATGATAAAATCTGAATACAATATATAATAACCAACTAATAGAGAGCACTGAAAGGCAACAAAAACAAGCAGAAATATCCTTAAAAGACAGCACCTACAATGGGTAAGACTGTTAAGTTTGTGGCTTTTTTGCATGAAGTATTGTACCCCAAATCACATAGCTGTTAAGGTAGAAAATCACAGAGTACTTCCTCAAAGGTGGTATAGAACAGAACTGGATGGCAGACGAGCTGGAGAATTAGAGATAAATTCTGAAAGTAAGAGAACTGTAGAACAGATGAGACCTAAATTCTGAGTCTAAACTCTGCCAGAACTCCAAGTTGAGTTAAACTAAGCAATTGTTGGAGAGATCACAGAGGGCTTAGGAAAAGCAGACAGAAAGATATCAGAAAAGAGTTTTAAAAAATAAAAGTGCTCCTAAAGAGATTGAGATTTCTGTATTTTTTATTACCAGCATTCCACAACTTGCTGATAGCTCAAAGAGAATAAAACTTAAGTCTTACAGGCTCAGGTATTAGAAATTGAGGCTGACAAAACAGTAGGATAGTATAAAGGGTAAAACCCTGGGAAAAAGAAAACAGCAGAAAGTAAGCCCCCAAAGCTATGTATAAGCACTCATCAACTCCTTGCCTGAGAGCTAAAGAACATGAGGAGAAGGAGAACCTACCTCTCCTTAGGGGACCAGGGTAAAAAGCAGTAGCTGGAGTTTAAAAAACTAAGCAAACATATGAGCTGCTTCATACTTGAAGTGGAAATTGAGGGCGGGGGTGGGGGCACAGTAGGGCAGAAGATGAAGCTTGAATCCAACTAAGTGAATCATCTGCTAGAAAAAACACAATAATCATTAGAACAATAGATATAACTGATTTTGAATTACTATAAATAAGTATTCACATAGCCCAAGTTTTTAGCAAAAATTACTGAACATGCAAAGAAAACAAAACAAAAATAAAGGAGGGAGAAAAGGACCCATATTCAGAAAAAGATAGTCAGAGTAACTAAGTAATTAGTGGGCCACAATGTTGTATTTTGCCCCAAAAGGCTTCAAAGTATCTGTTCTAAATGTTTCAAAGAAGTAATGGAAAACTTGGCATGGAGTGCCAGAACGTAAACTATAAAAAAGTACAAATAAAATACTAGAATTAAAAGTACAATAACTGGAGAAACCAAGATGGTGGCATAGGTAAACACCGGAGATTGCTGCCTTGCACAACCACTTCAAAAATACAACTAAAAGACATAACACACATCATTCAGAACCACAGGAAGGCTGGCTGAGTGGAATTTCTACAACTAGAAGGAAAGAGAAAAGCATACTGAGACTCAGAGGAGGTGCAGTGCTGAAGTAAATACAAAGGTGCGGAGGTGCGTGCAGAGAGGGCTGGCGGCTGAGGACATGATTGTCTTTTTCAATCGGGAGGGAGTCTCAAGCTCTGAGCTCCAGTTCCGGGCGAGTCTCTGGGGACCCAAACTCATATTGGGAGAAACTGGACTGTCTGGCATCAGTCAGAACTCGAGGGCAGCTTTCTCTCGGAGGCGCTCACAGTGATTGCTGGGGCGTCTGAGGGCAGGACTGAGAGCAGCCATACTGCT